CTCTTGTAATACAGTTTAGATACTCAAATTTGGAGCTATACAGAAAAGTTACTAAACTAATTAGAAAAAAATGGATTACATATAAATCTTCTTCGTTTTATTCTTTGTATTCATCTAAAAATTAACATTTTTAGCTCTTTCATAAAAATTAATATTACAGTCTGAATATAAAGGAGAGTTGTATAAAGAGTTTCAGAAACTATCTTGTCACTTTGAAAATTCGTAGATTGTAAACCAAACATCAGAACTTTATCAAACTTTATTGCGATGTAGATACATATATTATAAACAGATTTGTAGCTTTTCAGAATTTTCCTTTCGCCCAAAAAGTTTTTGTTGTTAATTATGTAAACTAACTTTTTCTAAGAAACGGTAAACGCTAGAAGAAAAATCAAAAGCGTATTTTGAAGGTCATTGTGTTAGTAACAGAAATATTTGTAATACAAAGGCGTATTGTCATGGATACCATTGCTATCGACTAACATTTAATTAGTTGCGCGCGGTACTAGGGCTCATCACAGCCGGCAGCCGCCATCTTAGTTAAGATTAGTGAAAAATACTGGCTTCACGTCGCGGCCAACATGCTCCATCTATTGGTCTTATGTGATCGTTGATACCACTGCACCTAAACAATAGAAAAAAATAAATTGTTAAAGATTCATAAAACATCACAAATTATTTGTGAAATTAAAAACATGAACAAAACTGTAACCAGGCGTACAGACCAGGCGTTTGTGTGTACCAGGCGCTGTTCTCATTGCGTATCACAGTTTTTGTTGCTGCTTAATTCAAATTAGCTGTTTTCATAAATTAAAAAAATAATAATGCTGCACCCTGTTGGTGAATCTTATAACTTTTAATGCTTTTGCATACCATAGAACCAACCTTTTTAGTTGCAACAGCTGACTAAATTCTTTAATTCCATTTAAATATGAGTACTCATGTTAACATGGGAAACACCGGAGCCACTGGGGCGGAGCCCGAAACGATTTTTGAGATAAGAATATGCTTATATGTTAATCGAAAATGTGAGCTATCATCATCCCAAATTTCAGCCCAATTCGTCCAGTAGTTAAAGCGTGATTGAACTTCAAACAAACAAACAAACAAACAAACAAACACACAAACTTTCACATTTATAATATTAGTAAGATAAGATACTAGCTGTTACCCACGGGCTTCACCCCGTTTGACTTCATAAGTATTAATAATACTGTTTTCTACACTCATCTCCATTCATACTTGGCTTAAAATACCTACTTTGTATGGTCGCCATTTCATTGAAAAGTATTAAAGTATTTGATTGGTTAAGTTAAGCTGAAATAAACAAAACAGTAATATAAACAAATAGCTGTACCTGCGGGCTTTGTCCCGTTTAACTTCTTAATTTTCAAGATGATCTCGTTCGCATGGCTCAATCACGTCCTGGTTGAAGTTCGATCGCTACGCTCACTCACCTTTAGGTTGGAGCTCGTTCGCTACGCTCACTTGCCTTCAGGTTAGCTCGTTCGCTACGCTAACTCGCCTCCAGTTTGAAGTTTGTTCGCTACGCTCACTCACCTTTTGGTTGCAAATTAGCTGTTGTCATAAATTTAAAAAAAATAATAGTGCTGCACCCTGTTGGTAATCCTTGTAACTTAAATGCTATTGAACATCATAGAACAGAACCAACTTGTTTAATTGAAACAGCTGTTAAGATTCTACAGTGATAATAACTGGTAATGTTTTTTGGAGAGGGGGCCCACAGGCTCTTATCACTGACCAAGTTAATTGGTTATATTAGCTAATTTCCCATATAGGGAATAAGCTATTACCATAGTACTTGTGGTAAGACCTGGATCCGTGACCGATATACTTTTTCGTTTTGAGGTCCGTAGAGGCCAAAAACACCTTTCGTTCAAATTCATATATATATATTTATGTGTCCGTTAGCGCGATGTGTCTCTTATTCCGTGTCCGTATGTGTCCATTTTTTAACTCGAGTAAAAATTATCTGATTTTGATGAAATTTTTTACATCTGTGTGAACCTACAACACAAAACGACACATAATTTTATCATCATGACACCACATATTTAACCCAATTTGAAATTGAGTGAACTCAATTTCTTATCACCTTAATTAAGAGTAATTTCTAGCCTAAATATTTGTTTTTTTGCGGTAAATATTAAAAAAAAACATTCCACATTTTTTTGTTTTTCCCAAAGTTAATTTTGAGGAAACCCACTATAGGTAAATTTTTGGTGAAGTAGGCCTAATAATTTTGAAATATATTTCCCTATGTTTGTATTGGTTATTTATTTTTAAACATTACATTAGAATAACACCAAATTTAATTGGATAAACAACTTAATTGTAGCCTTCAAATATGTTTTATTAATTCCAATATTTGTTTGAGTTTTAAGTATAGGACATGAAAACATATGAATGTTGTATTGAACAACTTTCACTTAAATAGTTGTGGTTATCTCTGGGAGTGATATTTGACCTCAATCTTACTAATATTATAAAAAATGTGAAAGTTTGTGTGTTTGTTTGTTTGAAGTTCAATCACGCACAAACCACTGGACGGATTGGACTGAAATTTGGCATGATGATAGCTCACATTCCTGATTAACACACAGGCATATTCTTATCTCAAAAATCCTTTCGGGCTCCGCCCCAGTGGCTCTGTGGTTCCCCATGTTAACCTTATGAGTATCTATATATTAATTTGAAACTGTTTTTCTTTGTCATAGCTATTTTGAGAGAACGGCGTGGCGTAGAAACTCGGTAGATGTGTCTAAAGAAAGGGCTTGGTCTGTAGATGAGCCATCAAAAGAAAAACGTGGTTAATTCCCTTGGGGCTCTGCCCCAGTGGCCTATAAATTCCCATCCCATGTTATTCTTATGGGAGAAAAACGAGTTTTTGGCACAGTTAATTTCAGAGAACGGCTGGGTGTAGAAACTTGGTAGGGGTCTCTAAAGAAAGGTCTTGGTCTGTAGATGAGCCATCAAAAGAGAAACAAGGTAAATTCCTTTGGGGCTCTGCCTCAGAGGCATTTTAAGTTCCCTCTTCAGATTTGTTTACATTACGACCATATGCGTAATTTTACACTACTTTTTAATGAACAGCTGTTAATATTTAAATTAATTGCGATTTACTGAATTTGTCAAAATGAAGTATTTGCAATGACTTTTTCTGATTTTAAAATTGATTTTCTTCTGCATCATGTCATGTTTTGCAATGTAACGTTATATTACCAAATCAGTGGACAATCCTAATACCACAGTAACTGTTAAAGTTATTTCTTATGGAGTTAACTTATATCTATTTTATGGGTTGGTTTCTGCTCTTTTTACCACTTCTTAGAGATTGTACGTAGGCGTGTTGCACGTAGACAATATTCTTTGGCGTATTGCATCTGTAGACGATACTTAGGTGGGTGTAGTTATTACAATGGAAAAAGTGAGAAAGCCTGGACAATTTTATATACTACAAATAAAACTGAATTAACACTGTGCTACAGTTCTTGAGCAATCATTGAAAGAGCCGATTTGCAAACAATGGAAACATAGGAAAGTCATAGAACACAACCAAGTAGAAGAAATAGAAATAATGTTTGTTTTTTTCTTTTTTCATTTATAATCGTTATTATAGCCAACGTGATGCGGCTATGAGTAGGAATCATTTATAGAAAACACTAAAAAACAAGATCAGCTTTTGAAAAAAGATAAGATATTTACAAACATCAACTCTTTTGATTATATCTAACTGTCGTGTACATCGTGAGTATTTTCATAATCTTTGAGTCAACTCTTATAAAGTCATCGGAAGTTATGACTGTTATTCGTTTGAAAATAACGCCTGTAATGCTTCGTAATTGCTCGAATTCGAGCAACAGGTACACTAGTTCATATTTAAAGGGAATTAAAGAATTTAGTCAGCTGTTTCAACTAAAAAAGTTGGTTCTATAATATACAAAAGCATTAAAAAGCTATAAGATTTTCGAACAGGGTGCAGAACTAGCACTAATATTTTTTTGCATTTATGTAAACAGCTAATTTTAACCAAGCAGCAACAAAAAACTGTGATGCTCAAGGAGAACTGTCAAAGTAGGATTGTTTACAGTTATGTTTTAGCGAATTTCCCTATAGGGAATAAGCTATTACCGTAGGTCTCATGGTAAGACTTAGTCCAGGGACCGATTTACTTTGTCATTTTGATGTCCCTAGAAGCCAAAAACACCATCCGTTCATATTTATATATATGTGTCCGCACGATAACTCGAGCAAAAATGATCCGATTTCGATGAAATTTGGTACAAACGTGTAAACCCAAGTTTATTCGAACGAGTTCGTGAACCAACATGATCGGACCATGGGAACGGGGTTTTACGGCGGATTTATGGGGTAAAAATTGGTTTTTCTCATTTTTGACCCTCAAAATAAAAATTTCCTCTAAACCATTTTGAAGAGCTTAAAAAAACAAATAATTCAGTATATTGAAGTGTTTTTGTATGGTTATTGGTTACGGAGAAAATTGTAAATTAAAAATTCCCATGTTATTCTTATGGGAATAAGTAAACTGTTGTAGTTTGCTTGTTTATGCATATATTTTACTAAAAACACACACTTTATTACCCTGTAGGCAGCAAACCTAGGTGCTCGTTAAAACTAATGTTATTTGAATAGATTTAATTGAAAATCAAATCAGGCAAATGGAAATTCGCTTATTCTGCAGGTTTGCTGCGGCGGGGGTATTAATTTTAATGTCATGAATAATTTATAATTTTTTGCAAATTTTTCATAATTTATTTTTCTTTGTTAACTTTTATGCGAACCCCGTACGAAGGACGGGTATTCTGCTAGTAGCCTATACAATTATTCCTGACAGGAATCACAGTGAATGGGGTGGGGTCTCTCAAGACACACCCAGACCCAACTGTAAAACATGTACCTATGATACAAACAATCATGTTACTGAACATTCTCTTTAACTTATGATAATATTATTTTAGCTTGATGAAGCAATCACATTTTTAAATGAACTTGAAGAGGGTAAACACACCGAAGAACTATATTATTCTGATGAAGATGAAAGTGAAGAAGATGAAGATTGTGAGGAAGATGAAAGTAATGAGAGTGCCAGTGGTCAATCTTCATACTCATCAGGAAACAAACATCACACACCTATTGAAATCAGTAACAAGAGTCCAATACTTACAGAGTAAGTACCATCTTGAACATTAAAATATGCACACATTTAGAAGATTCAGTTAATCTGCCAAGTTTTCTTCTTTGATAAAGTATTTAATGCTTGGTTGTCTATTGGACCTCAAAAGAGTTTTTGGTGGAATGTTTTACTATCTAAGCTTAAGTTTTTTCTAAGTGAAGTGATACAGTAGGATCTCTGATGTTTTTGATCATTGTTTAAATAGTAGGCGACTTTCAACTTGTTTTTGTTTCTAATTTTGGAAAAGTTCAGTTCTATTTTATTAAACTAATTTACCTAACAATTTATGTATTTACTTCAAACATAAAACTGGCAATAAGGATTATTTTATGGAAATCTTAGAATGCAAGATAGTTTATTCAATTCCACAGTCTAACTCATTATAATATCTAAAGATACATTACCAGCAACTCTTGATAATCCTATGTTGGTAAGTCAACCTAGATGTGAAAAATTTAACCCTAATTCATGCGACATTGATGTTTGGAATATTAAATTCAAGGCAAATTTATGTTTGTGCAATATTACAAATTATGATATTAAAAGATGTTTATTCATTGACTGCCTGGATAGTACAGTTCTTAAAACAGTGGTAACTATTTGCAAGCCAAAAGTGATTAGTGAATTCACTTACAAACAACTTTATGAACTTATGATAAAGTATTTCAAGCCAGTAAAGTTTAAAGCTGCACGAAAGAGTAAAATTCTTTTCAAAAATTTTGAAAGATAAATTATCAATAAGGAGGTTTTAATCTAAAAAAAAAATACTGAATGTTGAGAAATTAATTTTTAGAACTGCAAAAATTATATTTTTTATACTTTGACTGAGTATAAAATGATTTCAGAACACATTCAAGTCAAAGTCGATAATTTATTATATGGCTTTGCCTTCTTTTCCGTGCTGCCCTGTCGATCTGGCGGACACGTCGCGGCTCCCGGGCGTGGGCTGCCAGCCACTGTGTGCATACGCATAGTGTAGGCCTACCTCCCCCTGCTATCGTTCGTTACTACGCAGCAGCAGCGCGTATGACATATGTAATATGGACATAAACTAAGGGAAGCTAGTGATGGATCTGATCACTTATCAGATGTAATGTTGAAGATAGCTTCGTTGACGAGCTTGTAGGTCTACACCATAAATCCTATATTGAAAGTGTCAAGGCAAGACTTGAAAAATAAAGAAACCCCCAGCTAAGATTAGAACAAAAATTATATTAAACTCGAACTTGATGTCCAAATGTCAAAAAAAAAAAAAACTAATAAAATCCCTCCACTAAAGGCTTTTAGAAGAAATTAAAGAAGAAGATCATTAATCAATCTGTCCAAATGTAGATGTAGCGATTATGACTTTCCAGATTGGATACAACAATATTGCATTTCATGTATGCAAAACAGAATCGCGTTTTGCATAAAAACGGGGAAACAAAAATGTCTGTAAAAGAGGGTTCAAAATTTTATTAGATTTATCGATGCAGCATGCAATTGATTGCCGATTACTTTTCTACAAAAACAGCTGGCAGGGCATGTATTTGGGGTAATTTTATTGTGGTCGGTGAGCGCACTGACGATGGTGGGGGGAGGGGGCGCCCTTAATTATTCCCTGCCTAGAGGCGGCAGATAGTTAAATACGTCCCTGAGGTAGAGACTGGATCGAGGAGCTTAAAATCTACGAATTGCCACTTAATTCATTACAAAGTGATTCTTTATGGGTTTCCAAGGAAGTTGATGACATTTCAAGGTCAGGATTCCAAAGTTCACTTCCAAGAATGAGCTTAAGTAAATTAATTAAAGTCTCAGCGAGGAATAATATCATCAGGAAGCTCACCAGCAGATGCTGGGGTGCTAACCCTAATGTCCTCAGAACCTCAGCTTTAGTGCTCAGTGTGTCGGCTGCGGAGTACGCTGCACCAGTATGGAATGCATCGTCACATGCAAAAAAGGTTGACATTGCAGTCAATGACATGGCTCGGATTGTAACTGGGTGTTTGAAACCAACCCCAGTACACAAACTCTATCCTATCATAGGGATCGCCCCTCCATCAATCTGACGTGATGTCGCTGCCGACGCTGAAAGGACTAAGCAAGAGACAGACCCTCGACACCCATTACACGGCCACCAACCTGCAGAGCGACGGCTTCGGTCCAGAAAGAGCTTTTTATCACGAACACAAGTCCTGGATGGATCACTCTCAAGCAATCGGGTGGCAAGGAGGGAGGCCACGTTGACTAACCCTCCCATACCAGCCAGGGAGGAACTGGCTCCTGGTGGATTCATTACACGGTGTGGAAGACCCTAAATCGAATTAGGGTCGAGGTACCAAAATGCAAGACAAACATGCAGAAGTGGGGTCTCTTACCAGACGAAGGAAACTTCTTGTGCGCGTGTGGTGTTGTTCAGGATCCTGGCCATCGCCGTGCTGATCTGCCCACGCCTAGACCAGTCTTGCACATTAGATGATCTTTTACATGCGAATGACAAAGCCATATCGGTAGCTAATTTTTGGAAAAGCGAAGTCTGATTTCCGGACACGGAAAGTAAGTAGTAAATTAATTGTTTCTAATGGACACACTAAAAGACATACAAGTCAAATTCGGAAATGCTACCAAGACAATGAATCGGAAAAGGAAGACGACCCTTGCATTAAAAAAATACCTCTACTGTCTTCGTCAGATTTCAAAGTACTAAATCCATTAGTACATGTTCGGAGTTCAGAAAACCATGGATCACCAGCTGTACTTCCTAGCCCTAGAACATTCCCTGCAGTAGCTTCACAACATCCGAATGTCCCTCCTCAGCTACGACCTAGAACATCCCCTGCAGAAGCTTCATGACACCCGAATGTACTTCCTCAACTGCGAAGATCAACAAGGACCTTCAGGCCACAGAGGAGGTTAATTGAAGAAGCCTAAACTTGGTGGAAAGAAGTACGACGTTCCTGAAGGGACACTCAGTTTCTTTTTTCTTTCATTTAACTTCGACTTTTTTCTCAAAGTACTTCGACATTTCTATCTAGTCTAGTTTTGCTTCAACTCAACTTCAATACGAATACGTTCATTCTATTCTGTTTCTGATTCTTTCTCTGTCTGCTGTCTCACTGTCTCTCGTCTCTGTCGCACTCAGACCTAATAAAATCCTTGACAGAGTCAATATCAGAAAAGTGTTTCCTTCTATGAAGTCCGAGCTTCTTGGTATACCTTTTAAGTGTTCGCTCACTTATGCAAATGTTATGCTTCAATAAAAGAATTGCAAGTATTTCAGGCTGTTGAAGGCCTAAACTAAAATATTGTTCAATCAGTTCATTGATGTCATATTCCATTATGTGTCCTAAAGCTCAAACCCCTTTCTATCTGTCAATTCTTATCAAAAATATGTCTACATCAGAAACACCCCTACATCAACAGTTAGTTGGGTTGTGGTTGCCGTAAAATTATAACAAACTATAATAAGCACATTCGAGAATAAAGTCGAAGTACTTCGAGATTAAAGTCGAAGTACTTCGAGAATAAAGTCGAAGTACTTTGAGAATAATGTCGAAGTACTTCGAGAATAAAGTCAAAGTACTTCGAGAATAAAGTCGAAGTACTTCGAGATAAAAGTCGAAGTACTTTGAGATAAAAGTCAAAGTGAATGAAAGACAAAAAGAAACTGGAATGACCCTTCAGGGCCACCGTAAAGAAGTGATATGTTTGGTTTGAACATTGTTTAAATTGCAGCTGCTGACTTTCAACTTGTTTTTGTTATTGTTTTTGTTTCTACATTTTGACTCATGAAATAAGTTCAGTTCTATTTTATAAAACTAATTTACCTAACAATTTATGTATTTACTTCAAACATAAAACTCCATATCCCGAATCTGAAGGAGGTATGATAAAAATTTCATTTTTCGAGTTAGCGAGGTTCGAGTTATGAAGATGCTGTAGCCTACCTGAAATTCGAGAAACCAAAGTGTTGGATTCTAACAATGATGTTTCGTCACGACCTTTATAGCTCAATTTGTATGCACAATCCATTTATAAATTGAGCTAAAGCTCTTTTATATGCACTGAAGAGTAACCGTGGAAGCAAAATAAAACAAATTATGCATACAAATTGCATACTGTATGGCCTTCTCTTGCACAATCGCTTTTGATACAGGAATGTTTTTATCTCGACACTTTTAACCATGTTAAAACACATTGGTCCACGTCTTTAAACTCACTGTTCTTACATCTTTTCTTATTGATTAATCCGGTTTTTCAAAATTGTCGATAAGGTGTAGGGGAAATTCCGAATTCCCTGGCGGTTTCACCTTTTTTCTTTAACCCATTATCAACTGCATTAATTATTCTTCCTTTTTCGTCCTTTGTCGTCGTTTTACACTTAAACGTTTATAGACATGTTGTCCGACCCTCACAAAATAATCCTAATAACTGGCAGGCTTATTTTAATAGCCATTGCCAAACAAACAAAAAAAGTTGGATTTTCATGTTTCTACAGGAATCAAAACTCAACTGACTTGCACTGTATCGGGAAACTTTGAGTGATTGAGGCACATGGTTTAAACTTCGATTCATAAACTTTGATTTATTGAGGTTGGGTATTACTGATCGAAAATCATTAAAATTCTACTTATTGGGGTGGAATAGTTTAAACCTTTGACTTATAGAGGTACTTTTCACATTTTGATCCATGGGGATTTCAAGGGGATCATGTAGGACAGTAGAACACTGTAATGTTCATCATCACTATCTAGAGAAAATATCCATATTATATCTGTACTATCTACCTAGAGTTTAAGAGTTTATGTGAAGTTTTAAGTGCTACTGTAACAAAGTATTGATTGAAAAACATCATACAAATAGTCTATGTCGATTTTGTAATATTAAAATGAATGGTGAATGTTGACAATCTAAGACAAATCAAAGTATGTAACAAGAGTTCTCATTGGTCGACAGGCGACGCTGCACTGTCATGTCAGCCAATCGACGTTCGTGTTTCAATGGAGCAAATGACG